TTCTCACAAGAAATCTCCGTTGAATAAGGAATGGACTATTCTGAGGTCTTCAGGAACTGCTTGAAAATTCCCAATATTTCCTGAAGTTAATGAAACTTCATTGAGATTCTTTTGTAGTTTGAGAAGCTAGCCTAGTGCTAACAATACATCAATTTTTTAAACTTCCCTGATCTTTTTCGGAATTCCTGAAGTTTCCACAATTTTCCTAACGTTTATGGATCTTCTATAAAGTTTTAACAATTCGCTGAAGTTCTCGAAACTTCATTAAAATTCATGTAATTTCTCGGAACTGCTATGAAGTTTTATGTTATTTTGTTAATTTTCAGAACTTCTCTTTTTGCAGTTTTCATGAAGCTTCTTTTTTTTTCTTGATTTGTATTCCGTGCTGAGCACCAACGCTACCGACACCAGGGAGGCAGCTCACACACCCGGGCCCTACATATCGACCCATCAAACTTATGAACCGGGGACCAACGGCTTTACTTCCCTTCCCGTGAGCAGAAATGTTATGCCTCAGAACATCCCGGCAGAACCCAGGCCTGCTGGGGTGAGAGGTAATCACGCTTACCACTACACCACCGATGCTGCTATTCTCATGAAGCTGAATGTAATTGAACTGTCCTAAAAATGTTTAAGCTTCCGTGAACTTCTGAACTTTTGTAAAGACCTCAATAATTTTCTTATCATCTATGAAGTTTTCTGAAAATCTGGGAGCTTCTTAAAATTTCCCATCAATTATCTGAAACTAATGAAATTGAACTCTCCCGTAAATTCTTCCCATTTTTGGAGCTCCCTAAACTTCTTTGAAATTCTCCCGCATGTTGCTAATGTTCTTGAAAGTTCCTGAAGTTCTCGGATGTTCCCTTAAGTTTCATTAATTTCTATGAAGTTCTCGAAATATGTTTGAAGATCTACGCAGTTCTGGGAAGTTTTCGAAGAAATGCTTTCGGCAACGTGGAGCCTTAGATAGTGATAAGCGTCGCTAGAACTATTCCACAGCCGCAGACAGTATATCAGCAAGTCCAACGTCCACTCTGTTGCCTGTGGATTATAGGACATACCTCACATTCCCTTATCCATCAAAGTATGAGTTAGGTAAAGGATTGCACATTTGATTAGTATAGTCGCATTAATGACCCCTCGCCCAATGTCAAATTACTGTTCAATTTTTCCACTGCCGTACTCAGGTTGACCCAATCAACTAGCAGCATCTAGCAATCTATCCTCTTCAGAACTTTGCCTAGGTAATAAATTATCGCACTAAAGCTTCCCAACTCTGACAGTGTTCGAAATTGTTCTGAAATTTCTTTAAGCTCTCGCAATTTTCTTTTTCAATTATCGAACTTCCCTTAAATTATCGAAACTAACTCATAACTTCTTCAATAGTCTAGACTTTCCGGATGTTATTAGAACTGCCCAAAAGATTTATGAATTTCCTTAAAGTTCTCTAGACTGCCCTGAATTTCTCAGTATTTTTATCTGAAACTAATCAAATCGCCTAGAAGTTTCCACAATTTTCCTTAAATTTTATAAACTTTATAAACGCCCACGGAACTTTGCCTTAAATCGCTAATTTTCCCTGAGCGTATCTGAACATCCCTGAAGTTCTCTAAATTTGTTTAATATCCCGGACAATTTTCTGATATAAAATCATAATTCCATGACGCTTCTGAGGCTTTCGGATCAATCATAGAATTTTCGGAATATCATATAACCCACGGAGCTCCTTGTAAGGCGCTGCATTTTTTTAAAGTTATTGTGACTGTTCTGTAGCTATCTGATCGCTCTCGAAGTACTCGAAACATCACTGAATAGCATGAAACGATCTAAAAATGTCTGAATTTCTTAGAAGTTCTCTGGAATATCTTGAAGATATCGTTGCTTGCTTAAAGTTTCTTGCATTTTTTTTTTAAATTAACGAAACTTCGAAGATGTTATCTAATAAACATAGCTAAATTTTCACAATTTTTTCATGTTCTTGAAATTTTCATTATATAAAACCCTTAAAATACTCACACATTTTCCGAATGTTCATATAATTTTTAGTGTTTTCCAGAAATTGCGATTTTTTCTATGTTGTTCAGAATCCAGAGATCAAAGCGTATTTAACTTGGAATACATATTTTGGAATATGGTGGCCATATCCTGGTTCACCGGATAATCTGAATTGACCGATAAAGTGGCCACATTATAAAAATTGTGCTAGAACCTTGCGATTTTTTCTAAATACGCTTTGATCTCTTGATTCTGAACAACATAGAAAAAATCGCAAGGTTTTAGGACATTTTTTTATAATGTGGCCACTTTATCGGTCGTTTCGGATCCTCCTTTAGGTCAGTAGAGTTTTCCTGAGGGCGTATATACTGTCTTTACACCATATATACTTTGTACTATCAATTTCCAGTAATATAGTAAAGTAAAGTCTAAAATTATGTCGATAGATAGTGGCATTTCCTACATTACCGGGAACTCGGGTTGAATTCTATCTCGGTACGCAAATGTCTCCGGCCAATGAGACCACCACCAATCGATTCAGGAGAGTTTTTCCTTTGAGAATATGTATAACATGTTGACTGAAACCGTTTGGCAACCGAGATATTCAATTTAGTCGCGGTTTTGTCACTTTTTGCCCAGTGTGCGCCCTTTGATTCTCTGATCTGTTTTGATGTTCTAGGGGCTTCCCTGAAGCTCTCAATTCTATTGAAGATCTCGGTTCTGCTCTGAAGAAAAAAAAATGGAATTCTCATAAAAGCCTTTAAACATCCCTGAAATTCTTTGGACTTCTGTGAAGTTTTCATAAATTCTCTGAAGGTATCTGTCCTTCCCTGAAATTTTCGAAACATTTCAAGCTTTCTCGATTTTTCTAAACTCACGCTTGTAGCTTTAAAGATCTAAAGTCTGGATGAAATTCCCAAAACATCTCTAGATCAAGCTTTTCTGAAGTACCGTAAAACGGGGTGACATTGATAGTTTTTTAAGTATATTCTAAATATTTTTTACATCAATGAATGTTTTTCAAATTTTATTTGTTTAAAACAAGTACTGAGGACCCTAGAATCAATTCGTTAGTAATATGTTTAACGGAAATTATTGCATTCGCACTATTTTTTTAGACTTGTTGTAACCGAACATCAGTATTTTGATTTGGGGTTACTTTGATAATGCTCGATGAATGTAGAAAAACATGCGGGAAACTCAAACAATTCAATTCAAGAAATATGAAACTTTGAGAGTATATAATCAGAAAACATCATAGGCAATAAGAACACAACATTGAATTTGTGATGGCTATATTGGAAATACATTTCGTAAGTAAATAGCCAAAAAACAAGAAAATTGTGTTTCAATATGTTTGGCAACATGTAACACAAACTATAAAAAAAAACTATTATCGATATCAAGGAAAATGCTCTAAGCTACAATATGGAACCAGTGTTTCTAATTCGGAAAAAGGGCAGAGAGTAAATCAAATCATTATATTCTACCATCAAAGTTACCCGCATTATCAAAGATGCCCCGTTTTACGGTACTTACAACTTCGTAAAATTTTTAACAATTTTCTTCAAGTTCTCTAAATTTCTGAAGTTCTCGTGTCCCCGGTCAAGTTCTCTGAAATTCTAGGATTTCTTTAAAAGTTCCTGCCATTTATCGGAAGCTAATAGATTTGCTTTGAGGTTCTTAAAACTTCCAGTAAGTTCCCTATATTTTTAGGATTTTAACTTCCCTTATGTTCCGGTAGTTTGTTTGTGAAGCTTCACTGAAATTCTCAACATTTCATTTCATTCCTCAGAGCTTCTGTAAAGTTCCTACAGTTGATGTGAAGTTAAGTGGCCCTCACTGAGGATCTTTAATCTTTTATTAAGTTAATTACAAACTTGAAATAAATATTTTTTTACTTTCATTTTGACACTTTGAAAATATACTCAATATCTTGAACTTGTACATGCAATACGAAACATCAACACTTTGAACATTTTGAGATCTTAAACTTACTAAAATTAAGTAAGCGTTAAACATTTAATGGATTTGATTGCAAAGCTGTTTCTTTAAACTTTGATAGGCCCGGAGTGCCGAGTAACGTCTGAGAATTGAAAACTAAATATGATGTTGTAAGGTGACTAAGAATGATTACTAAGCTTGCTGTCGTTTTGGTCGTTTTAACGGTTTAAAACTGAGAGCAAACAAATCTTCCTGTCACATCAGAATGAAAAATAATTCTGCTATCAGTGAAAGCAAACTGAAAAATAAATTAGATGTACATTTTTCCTGTTGAGTATTCATTTTGATGTTCCGCCAAGAGAAAAAAAAATCAAAACTGCAACAAGATTTTCAGTTGTTGATTTGCTGTAACAAGACACTACTGAAAACAAAACAAAAATCAACAGAAAATTTAGATAAAGATCAAAAGTTCAGCAGAATGAAAACAAAATTTGGTATCTTCGAAAACTGAAATCAAATTATGATTTCAATTTGATGTTGCCATCACAATTTGATTTCGATTTGCTATCATTTTGATGTTGGTCTTTGCTCGGTGTAACAGCCTGGCTACTTCACTAACGAAACTTATTTCGTAAACTTGGACCGAATTTGATCAAATTAGGGCACAATTACAATAAAAAAAAAACACTCACTCATATGTAACGACACACATCCAACAGAGAGCATCACATTCCGTTGTACCATGTTAAGTGAATTGGAACGACATTGAACTAGGCTCCAGTCCTTTGAAAGTTCAGTTTTCCAGCGACAACCCTTCCTTTTGTTAATTGACAATGTTTTACACATTACTTTTCTCGAAAACATTTAAACTGGCCCTGTACCACTCTGCCATTTACCCTTTCCTAAAATCAAATCGCCTCTACATCACAAACGCTCAAGCTCACTCCACGAAGAAAGTATCGCGCAATGATGACACGCACAATTCCACCGAACCGTGACGACCACCAACCCTCCCAAGGGCACCCTGCTACAGTCATAGGTGCCCAAGCACAGAAACTCACCGGGTCCAGAGTTGCCACATCGGTTCCTATCACTAGTTTGGCCTTCCGTTGGTTCTCGTTCTCGCTACCATATCCGTCCCCATTATTGTTGTTGTAATGATGAATATTGTTGTTATTCATCGCACTGCTGCTGGTGGTATGATTCGTCACATCCTCCAGATGCCGTCTCTCGCCGATATCCCGGTCCAGGGTAGCGGCCATACTGCTACCACCGCTGTGGTTGTTGTTGATGTTATTGTTGATGTTGCTGTTGCCACTGGAGCGACTTCCGGTGGCCGCCGTCTCGAACGGGGATGTCGCACTATCGATAATACTCTTGCGGCCGATCACTTGCTCCTCGTTGAAATTGGCCGAGAAACTGTTTGCCGTCTTCACGCTGAAGGTGCCGAAATTGTTTTGATTGTTTTCTGAAAGGCAAAAGAGAGGAGATTTGTGGTGGAACAAGGTGCCACAGAGAGCAGAAGAGGCGGAGAAAAAGGACCCGAAAAACCGAAAATCGACGATGGGGGAGGCATCGTTTAAGATAACGTGACCTTCTTTTTATGGCGAGGCACGCAGTTACCACTACTGGGCTGGGCTGATTTACAACACCCACATTTGACGAAAATCGCTATTGATGGGAAAGTGGAATGTGTGATTCGGAGTGAGGGAACAAAAAAAAATCAACGCATCACTGCCCGACAACCACCGATGGCCGTTCGAGGAACTCAAGCGTAACGGAAGTGTGTCCGTGAAAGAAATTGGTATAATATAGAGCTTCAACATGAATCGACTAATTTTTACCATTTCTGAAGGCACAACTGGTGGTCACCGTTTCACACGGTCAGCTGATAAGTAGCCGTGGGCAGGTTGAACGATGCGAGGACGGCAATTGGGGGAGACGGTAACGTGTGTGTGGTATATCATGGAACTTTCAACATTTCGTGTCGTTACGGTTGAAGGCCCATCACCAGCAAAACTAACGTAGCTAGACGAGCCATTGAGAAGGCAGAAGAAGTTCCAACCGCGCGCGCACTCAGCAACTAGCCTAATGACAAGCGCGCCAAACTGAAAGTGAATTTTCTGCTTTGGTGCAATAAATTTAGCTTTAAATAGACTCAACACTTTTCCAAAGAAAGTTGATTTTGAAGTTTAAAATAAAAAAAAATCCCGTGTGATGCTTCTCCATCAATGACTATTTTCGGTTCTTCCTTTTTTAGGTCAACGACGTGCAGCTACAGGTACATACCTCTATGGCTGGGTTTTTCGGATTCTTTGCATTGGTCCACCGTATCGGTACCCAGTTTGTCCTTCTTGGGCGACCGTTTCGTTCGGAGGGGAGGTTTCGGCCGCTTCGGTTGCTCGTTGTCGAACGAGATGTAGAAACCTTTCTCATTCATATCGTCCTGCTGGGGGTCCTGTTTCGACGATGGAGGGAGAGAAAAGTGGAAAAGCATGTAAACTGGGATCGTTATCGCTATAATTGTTTGGGTTTTTGGGTCAAGTGCACATTTCAACAACAACAATTAGTTTATCGGGATTACAACAGGTTTTACACAATTAACCCCTCCAGTTCCATGGTTAATTTGGAACAGAAGCATTTTTCAACTGCTTTTCATGAAGCTATCGTCACGTACTTAATAGCCTAGGCGTGGAAGATGTCGGTTTTCTAAATATGTACAGAAACGGGTTGAAGCTTAAAAAGATAATCATTAAGCTGCAACCAAAATAGCATAATTTTCATTCAATCGATTGGTCATACTAGTCACTGTATTCTGTTACCATTTGGAACCCTTGGCCTTATTATAGTCTTATCATTGAAGTACAGAATTGTAAGCCTTATTAATGTCTACAAACTGTCTTAAGTTGTGATTTAACGTGCATTGTGTCTGTCATACTTTGTTGTTGTATTCCTTACATTCAGGCTACATACTCACCACTGTCTGTTTTGTAAATACCTCAATTCGTTAATTTCGTTGTCGTTTTTATTCAGATCGATATAGATTCTTCCACTGCAAAGAAATCGAATTCATACTGCATCATGGAGCAGTTCGATCGCCATAGTAGGAGCCACAGTGATTTGTTTTGGTTGGAGAAAAGAGAAAGATATTTTAATAGGGAACAATTTGAACCGCTGTTTCGGTCCTGAACTGTAGACTCCGGTTGGAACTATTGTCCAGCCACATCGCAAGAACCACGTTTTAAAATTTGATTTAGTGACTTTCATTTCATAAAAGAATAGAATGGTAGATCACCATGATTGTGCTACATTACTCCCAATGCCGTTACCCGAATGTCACTTCCCCTTACGCCATTCACAATTGAATGTGAAAAGGATGAACAGCAATCCAAAGAAGACAGAATATCGTTCGGGGTGATGGCCATTGGGGGAAATGGCGTTTGGCGAAATGACATTCCGGGTGATGACATCCGAGGTAATGTAATACAACCCTCACGTTACAGGTAAGCCAGTCTCGCCTCCACGGTTAAAAATCAACGAAGGATAAAGGAAAACACTGAAGTGTCTGCGAGGAACCCTCATGGGGAGTGAGTGGATTCGATGATTCGTCACTACCGTCGCACTATGGGGAATCTCCACACAAGGAAGTGGCCAAAAATATGTTCTCCCTTATTCTGCATTATTTGACACGTTTTGTATTACCTACATTAATCATTAAACATCATTCTGCGTTCCTGAAGTCTTGTACGTTCTCCTAAATGTCCTGGAGTTAAGATCTTGATGTTATGCACACTCAATGTGGTTTGATACGCACGTTCCCAAAACGTCGTCCGTGCTTTGTATACGCATCATAGAATGGTAAAAATAAGATATTTTTATTGATTCTCTCCAAACTATTCTGGAGCTAAGATATTGAAGATCTACAACAGTCTCAATGAAGTATTGAACAATGTCCTGAAAATCTGTTTGAGTCCGTGTATTTCATCAAGAGAGCCTTTTGCCAACATGTACATCACGGAATGGTATTAATAAGATATTTAATGCTTTACAAACCAGACTGGAGTTCCGATCTTGAAGATCTAGAGACTCAATGCAGTCCTGTAAATCTGTATGAGTCCGTGAAGTTCCAGAGAGCCTTTTGAAATCATGCACATCATCGAATGGTTTCAATGAAATATTTAATGTTCTCCAATCTACTGTTGAGCTAAGACCTTGAAGTTACAGACAGAATGAAGTCTTGAACAATGTTCTGAAAATCTGTAAGAGTCCGTGAAAGCCCCTTTGACAACATCCACATCATCAACATCACATCGACTGTCTTGAGTATTGAACAGTGTCATGAAAACCTTTAGTGTGGTTACAGCAAGATATTAAATTCCCTCCAAATTATTCTGGAGCTAAAATTTTAAAGAACAACAAGCTCAATATAGTCTTGAACAATGTCATGAAAATCTTTATGAGTCCGTGAAGTTCCAGAGAGCTTTTTTACAGCATGCACATAATCGAATGGTGTTAATTAGATATTTTGTTGCTCTCCAAAGTATTCTGGAGTTCAGATCTTGAAGATCTACAGACTCAATGAAATCTTGAACAATGTCCTGAAGATCTTTATGAGTCCGTGAAATTCAATAGAGCATTTTGGCAACATGCACATCACAGAATGGTATTAATATGATATATAATGCTTTCCATATCATTCTGGACGTTGAGATCTTGAAGTTCTACAAGCTCAATGAAGTCTTTAACAATGTCTGTAAATCTTTATGAGTCCATGCAGCTCAAGAAAACCTCTTGATAACATGCACATCATGGCTTGGTATCAATAAGATTTTTAATACTCTCCATACTATTTTGGAGCTAAGATCTTGAATCGCTACAAACTAAATGAAAGTACTGAAAATCTTTATGAGTCCATGAAAATCAAGACTGCCTTTTAACAACATGCACATCATCGAATGATTTTTAATGCCTTACAAACCATTATGGAGCAAGGATCTAGAAGTTATACAGACTGATTGAAGTCTTGAACAATGTCTTTTATGAGTCCGTGAAGTTCAAGAGAGCCTTTTGAAAACATGCACATCATCGAATGGTTTCAATAACATATTTAATGCTCTCCAATCTATTCTTGAACTAATATCTTGAAGTTTTACAAGCAAAATGTAGTAATGAACAATGTCCTGAAAATCTGTATGAACCCCTTGACTACATGCACATGAACTGTTCTGGAGATCTTGAAGTTCTACAGATCCAATGAAGTATTGAACAATGTCTTGAAAACCTCTAGTATGGAACAGCAAGATATTAAATTTTCCCCAAACTATTCTGCAGCTAGGATTTTAAAGTTCAACAGGCTCAATATAGTTTTGAACAATGTCCTGAAAATCTGTATGAGTCCATGAAGTTCAAGAGGGCCTTTTTACAACATGCACATCATCGATTGGTATTAATAAGAAATTTATTGCTCTTCAAAGTATTCTGCAGTTAAGATCTTGAATATCTACAGGCTCAATGAAGTCTTGAACAATGTCCTGAAAATCTTTATGAGTCCGTTAAGTTCAAGAGCGCCTTCTGACAACATGCACATCACGGAATGGTATTAACAAGATATTATGCTTTCCAAATCGTTCTGGAATTTAGATCTTGAAGTTATACAAGCTCAATGAAGTATTTAACAATGTCTTGAAAATGTCCTGAAAATCTTGATGAGTCCGTGCAGCTAGACAGCATGCATATCATTCTACATCGCGTTAGAATGTGTTTCTTCTTGGCTTTGCCGATGACATCGACATCATGGCACGGAACTTTGAGGCGATGGCGGAAACGTACATCAGACTAAAGGCTGAAGCTAGGCGGATTGAACTTGCCATCAACGCATCAAAGACAAAATACATGAAAGGACGAGGTTCTAGGGAAGACAATGTTAGCCTCCCACCCCGAGTTCAGATTGACGGTGACGAAATCGAGGTGGTCGATGAGTTCGTGTATTTGGGCTCACTGGTGACCGCCGAAAATGATACCAGCAGAGAAATTCAAAGACGCATTATGGCAGGGAGTCGTGCCTACTTTGAACTCCGGAGGACCCTCCAGTCGAATAAAATTCGCCGCCGCACGAAGGTGACTGTCTACAAGACGCTGATTAGACCGGTGGTTCTCTACGGCCACTAGACCTGGACTATGCTTGTGGAGGACCAACGCACCCTTGGTGTTTTCGAACGGAAGGTGTTGCGTACCATCTACGGTGGAGTGCAGATGGATGACGGAGCGTGGAGTAGGCGAATGAACCACAAATTGCACCAGCTGCTGGGAGAACCATCCATCGTCCACATTGCAAAAATTGGGCGACTACGGTGGGCTGGGCACGTCATAAGAATGCCGCACGACGACCCAGTGAAAATGGTTCTAGAAAGCGACCCAACAGGAACAAGAAGAAGAGGCGCCCAGCCGGCAAGGTGGATCGACCAAGTAGAAGGCGACCTGCGGACCCTTCGCAGACTACGAGGCTGGCGAAGTGTGGCCATGGATCGAGTAGAATGGAGACGACTTCTTCGGACTTTAGCCTGATTGGTAAGGTAAGGTAAGTAAGAGTCCAGACAATTTAGTTCTTTAATTTAAAAAAATATATCGGTTTTTATATATCATCTGAAATAGCTTCGTTTTCTGAGCACAGCGATATTTTTTCAAACCCACACACTTTCATCTCGATTTTTAAATCAAGATTTAAAGCAAAATAATAACTTTACTGTTTGACACTAAACTGACAAACTGACAGCTCGCTCCCATACAAAGTGACACCGAGGGGCGCTAATAAGGTGATTTTGGCAAATGTAATCGTACTTATTTAAAATAGTTCCAGTGTACCAAAATTGATGAAATTTTGGGTTTGGGTTCCATTTTTAATGCAGATTACGAATATGTATTAACCTCAATACCCTTAAAGAACCCAATTGAAGGCATTTCCATGAACTTCAGAAAAATCTTGTTAACTTCAGTGAAAATCATAGATCAAGATTAATTATTCCGTGTTGATTCCATGAAAATTGCGGGAGGAACTTCTTCAAGAAATTTCAGAAAAAAAAACTTTGAAAACTTCACAGAGGTGCAGAGATTTTCAGAAACATTTCGAGAACTTCATAGAAGTCTATGGAACTTAAGGGAAGATCCGAGAACTTGAGGAAATTTCATGAACATTAGCTAATTGCGAAAGCATTTCAAAGAAATTTAGTAAGCTCCAAAAAGGGAGAATTTCAAGGGGAGTTCAAATCGATTAGGTTCAAAAAATGTGCGGAAAATTTTAAGAAGTTACCTGGGATGTTAAGACAGTTATTAAGGTCTTCACATAAGTTCAGAAGCTGATGGAAGCTTAAACATTTTAGGACAGTTCAATTGAATTCAAGGTAGTACAACTACTCGCTAGACGCACATCTCTACAGAATAAACCTCGTTGACAGCAATATATGTAGGTGCAGAACCGGTTATGATGGCATCGATCACGCAGTTTGGTATTGCCCGGCTAATGACGCCTCCAGAGCACGTCTGTTGGATACCCTAGTGGCCCGAGGTAGACAACCCTTCCGTGAAGTAAGAGATGTATTGGGAATCCGTGATCTTCCCTACATGCAGGCGATCTACGAATTCCTTTGTTTGTCTGATGTTAGAGTTTGATGTGACAATCTCCTCCTTTCCAAACAATTTCCGGCCATTGTGTTCCAGTCTTATTATCCTCCTGTTTATGTGCTACTTGTCCCTGCATAGCCTGGATTCCAATCAAAATTGTAACCCATTAACCTCGAGTAATTGGTACCCAATACTAACCTAGAACCACTGCTGTTTAAAATGTAAATTCAAACATTACTGATTTTTGGCTCCGCAAAGTGTCACACACGACTGAGCCTAGTAAATAAACGAACTAGTTAAAGAAAATCTTGCTGTTCTGTAGGCACAATGAAGTCTTGAACAATGTCCTGATAATCATCATGAATCAGCAAATCTCAAGAGATGATAACATGTGCATCATGAAATTGTATAAATCAAGCGTAACTATTAAAATCGACGTATCTGATTTTGTAAACAATCACTTCAATAGACGATTTGTTTTAACTGCTAACTCAACCACGTAAACAAACAGCATTATTAGATAGGGAAATCTTTCCCCTACTAGCTGGTGCTGTTAGTTTCTGTGCGTGAGCTAGTAGTTGCCAAAATTGTCGATTGAAGTGATTGTTTACAAAATCAGATATGTCGATTTGAATAGTTACGCTTGAAATGCTCTCAATATACATAAGTTTATCGAGAAATGAGGATGATCTCGAAAAAAAAATGGAGGTACCAATCCTCAAAGTCAGCATGTTTATGTTTATAATCAACCATTTAATCAAGCTTCCACATTCACTTTCCATCAAATGTCGCTGTTGTTGTTTGCGGTGACATCTATTGGAAATTACGCACAATGTGTTTCCGTTAGTTGTTCACAGAGTACAGTGCAGTCAAAAAATCTAGACATCCCTTTCACAAACTACAAAATAGAGTATCTGACACAGCGAAACATGTCTAGTAACTCTTCGTATGCATTTAGATTAACATCCGAAGTCCATCCTTTTTTTTGCATATCCGGCACAAAAAATACTTTCGAAGGAATGGGATGGGACTTTGAAAGTATTGTTTGTGTTGAGTTTGCACAAATGGAGGGACTTCGGACGGATGTTAATCTAACCAACCACTTTTTCAGTGCCAGGTACTCTATACTGAAGTCTGTGAGAGGGAAATCACAAATCGTGTGTCATCAAAATACATGGCATGTTGAGACGTTGAGCTCTCGTAAAGAGAGATATCTCTCTCAAATTTGATTTTTTGGCTCTCTGGAGACTGGTTGGAATAAAAATCGGACACCACTAGTTGACTGTGAAACGTCATTTTGACATCCACCCTCAATATGAAAAATAAGGACCGTTCATAAATATGAGACAATGTGAAAGGAACTTGGGCTAATCACAAATGATGTCCCCACGATAACTGAAAAAAAAAACACGAGTGCTGACCGGTTGCTAAAACTGTTCATTGTTGTCTCTTCATGAAGTCTCAAAAAATACACGGTTGTTTGCAAGGGCACTCATACCATTCTAGTTCAATATAATTATCAGTTTACAAACCTATTACTGTATTGTTATTATTTCAAACCTAAATGTTAACACTTATAAGTAAAGTAAATCCAGACAGTTTGAGGGTTAGTTAGATAATTGTCAGTCGTCTGTTCATTAAGGCCTTAGTGATAAATCCCGAGGGTCTAAACTGCAAGTCAAGAGAAACCCCAAATCAAATTCAGTAGATCTCAATAGCAAATCCATATTGCTTTAAGGGGGTATTCCCAATCTTTTGCCTTTTTTCGGCCTGTTTTTCAATTAATTTTTTTTTTCAAGGAAAATGAATAGTAATGCGCCTAACTCTTTGGGATTCTTGTTTATTGAACATTAAAGTTTACAAATAATTTTTTTTCGACATAAAAAAAGACATTATTGACGTCACAAAATGGCGACAAACAGACCCCTGTTCGCCGCAAACGCCTGGACGGGCGAAGACTTTTCTCTGGAACGGCTTCATCTGAAACAGATTTCGTGATGAAATAATAATCTGCATAAGATTCTCTGGAGCTTCTCCCGTTGGCAGCAAAAAATCTTGCAAATTAACAAAATGGCGGCCATATGAAAAAACAGGCGATTTTTAGCCCGCTTTTTTGCAACTTTAAGGTGCTTCAAACAATGTTAAATGTTAATATTTTTGGCTGAAAGTGGGAGAAGCTCCAAAGAATTTAATAAGGAACAAAATGCGCAAAGATTCAAGTCAATATCTCTTATAGTTTCTGAGAAAAATCTTCGCCCGATAAAAAAAATGTGGTTTCGAGAAAAACGCGTTTAAAGTTTTGACTTTAGTTAAAACCATTTGGGGGTTCTTACCATTAGTCAGCTATGCCTGGACACCGAATTCGCTGATCGGAAAACGGCTTGGGGGGATGAAAGTATATAGTCTAAAGTACAAAAAAACGTGAAAAAAAAAAATTGATTTTTTGAAAAAAAAGATCGGGAATACCCCCTTAATGGAATATTCAGATGACCTCATGGACAGTTCCAGTCAATCTCCAAGATAAGTCTGGAAGACTTCTAATGCAGATCCAGTTAATTCACGGGCCAGTCCAGTGTTCTACGGGCACAATCTAGAGCACTTCTGTAAGAAATCCAGTGGCCATTAAGTGTAACTCCGGAGAAGCAGCCCGTGCGACACAGCTCAGGTAGAAGGAAAAGAGCAAATTGTTGGCAAGCTGCTTCACCTAAGAGGAAGAGGTGACAATTCAAGACCAACAATTGAAATGGCCTCAACTCAAATTGTAAACAAACCTTGTAAGGCCATTTTCTTGTGAACCGAAACCTACATTTCCAAACCTGAACCACAATCGGGTAGAGGAGAATTTCCCCTACCTGTTCATTCATTGTTTTGCCTTGGAGGACTTCGGTTCGCGAGAAAATGCCCTTACAAGGTTTGTTTACAAAATGGAGTTGAGGCCTTTTCAATTGTTGGTCTTGAATTGGCTTCTTCCTCTTTTATTTCTATCTCTATCTCTATCTTACGCACATGAAATCGGCCAATCAGGAGCTGGTTCACGTTTGACAGAAAAGTGGCCCCCGTATTGTCACCTCTTCTCTTAGTGCTTCACGAAGTAAAGCCGAAGATGATACACGTGTGTTAATGGGATTTTTTTTGTTATAAAAGACATTTCATATCAAGCTATTTAGACCAACAATTTAAAAAAAGGCGCAACAACCAAACGTAAACAATGGCTTTAAACGCAAATTCCTAGAGAATCAAAGCACATCCAAGCAATCTAACACCATCATCTGATAGAGCAAACTTCCTTTATTGAATGGCTTTGTTAGTTTACGTGGGAGTGTTTTGATTCTCGAGAATTTTGTGCTTAAAGCCATTGTTTACGTTTGGTTGTTCCGCCTATTTCAATTGTTGGTCAAGCTATGTCCTCATCCGTGTATATTGCAACATTTTTTTTATTCTTTATTTGAGAGATTTTTAGCCATAGGCTAGTTCATCTCTTACAATATATTGCAACAAAGCAGGCAAGCAATATCTTCTACCACTCCGATCGAGCTATGTTACAGAGCGAGTTTGTCATGGTAATTATAGCAACCGTTTTTTCTGTATCGTTGGTTGCTTTATGTGTTTGGATTCGCTGCCTATTTCTATCGAAACTGATTTTCTAATGTGAAATCCGTTTCGATCAAAGTAAGAATTAAGGGTGTATACCTACTAAAGGCGGTTGGGTCCGATTTCCAGTCCAGTCTAGGGATTTAGAGTATCATTGTACTTGACATACAATATAAAGGGTGTCCACAGTTAAATTGCATCACTTTAAAAAGCTGTAACATTTTGCCCTTTGGGTTAATTTTAATTGGGTGAGATGGCCTCAGCGTGTATTGTTTACACTGCGTGAGTTTCATTGTGAATTTCTAGTAGTTTTGAAAATCGTGCGCGAGAAAATTTAGCACACCCACCTCAACAAGCCACATCTTTCGCACCGAGCCATCGGCGGTAGTCCGAACTAACTCCAGGGAATTAAGTAGTCCAAGTATAGATAATACTCTGTCATACCCGGAGTCTTCAGACCCGTAGCAACCCACCCCCAAGTGTTTCGGAAACTGCACGAATAGACCACTGGATTATATTTCTAAATTGAATGGAAACTGGACTTACATGAAAACTGTTGGAGTTCAACGCGGGCCGCGTCGGCGACGGGATCCTATAAGTACGATTTCCGCTGGTAATGTTCAGTTTGCTTAGGTGCTTGTTCAGCTCCGGAGCGGCATTGTTGTTCTGTATCTTGTTGCTACCCTGCTTACTGCTGCCGTACAGCTGGTCCAGTTGGTGTTGCTGTTGCTGCTGCCGCAGCTTAAAACTAGTTCCCTTCGATGTATTGATCTCAATGTCACCCGTATCTTCGTCCCCGATGAAGGAAATGCTCTGCGGGGCCATATCGTCAATCGGCGGCGACAGGGGCATAGGCCGATTGTCTCGGAACGAATCATGGTGACTGCGGGTTTCCGCTCCGGGCGATGAATTACTACTGCCGCCATGGTTGATCATCTGCGATATTTGGTTCCGTACCCGACTGTGCTGAGGACTGCTCGACGAACCGTGATGCACTTCGAACAGATTTTGGAATGACTGTTGACTACCGCCGTATCGGCTACCGGCTCCATACCCATCGCCACCAGAGTCACCGTTGTGGTGCAGCGAGAAGCCACTTTGACTAGGAGATTTGTTATACGGTGAACTCTTGATGCCCTGGTTCCATGCGTTGATGTCCAGCTGGATGTCGGTGGCAGCACCACCCCGTTGGGTTGCAGCAGTGGCAGCCGACTGTGCCCACGTCCGGCGTTGGGCAGGTTGGGGCGGAGTACCGCCGCCACTACTATCATGCAGGAAGAACTGATTGTGCTGCGGCGGCTGCTGCTGCTGCTGCTGTGGAATGGGAGGTTCTTTCACCTCCTGGGGTAAGTAAGGATCCCGGTAATGGTTCGAGTCCTGGTAGAACTGTTGCTGGTGTTGATCCACGTTCAGGTAGGGATTCGATGAGTATTGATTTTCTTTCCGGTACTGTCCGTTTTCGTAGCCCATGTAGTGCTGGTGTTGATGTTGCTGTTGCTGTTGGGCTTGCTGGATGTACTGACCCTGATCGTTCACGTACTGCAGGGTGTGCAGTTGCTGCTGCTGGGTCAGGTAGGGATCGCGACTAGGTGGCCGAGTTCCGTAGTTGATCGGCGATTGTTGCTGCAGCAGAGGAGCACTTTGCTGCGACAGGTGAGGACTAGAGCCGAAAAGCTGTGTGTTGATGGGCCGGTAGGTTCCGTGGATAGTTTGCTGGATGTTCTGCTGGGAACCATATTGCTGAAAGTGGTGGAGGTACATTGCATTAGGTGTGAAGGTTATGGGGGTTAAGCTGCAAGGTCAATCCACGACAAATTGGAAATTCGTACAGGCAGAACAACGGTTTACAGCCCAAATCGACGGTCGTTTGAGGTTACTGGCTAGTACAAACCTAGTTATCCGAGAAAAATGCCTCATACAATTCGGAGACAACAGAACAAAAAAGACGGACAGAATCCAAAGGACAAATACAGTAACGCTACAAGTATAAAAAAGCAAATATGTAAATCACTGCGTTGAGTTTCAACCTCGTTTTTGAGTAACTGTGTCCTGCAATTTGCATAAAACACAGAGAGCAATTCCTCGAATCACGATTCTTGCACCAATTGGAGCTGCAAACTAATCAACGCAACGTTGTGTGGAATGACCTATACTGGGAAATCTGATAGGTATTTGTTTAGCTTCAGCAAGGCAGATATCCCACAAAACTCATGGAATTGCAAAAACAGAAGGACGCCAACACACACACACACACATACACAACACGCAATAGTGCACTGCTCACAAGGAGGAGCCATTCGTCCCGATCATTCGCTCGCCGTCCGATTTTGATGGAGCACCCGTGGTCGAGATGCGGATGCGTTCATGAAGCTAATGGGTGAATCCCCGGGTGTGTGATGAACTTACCTGATTGAGTAGGTTGGCTATCTGTTGGGCATGCAATAGTTGCTGGGCCTGGATGGTTTGCGCTTGGATTTGCGTCTGCTGCTGGGTGAGGCGTTGTATGTCGGCCTGAATATCGTGCAGGTTGGAGTTCATTTTTGATATACTTTGCTATTTAGGTTTTTTTTTATTGTTTTTGATTGATTGTGATGCAACCAAGCACATCGATTGTTGGGTTCAATGTGTGATGGGTGGAATGGCAGGCAGTGGTGTTTTTTTGGTGGGATGGCGGATGGTTTGAATTGTTTCGATTTTCGAAGGTGGAGTGAAACAAGAATAAACGGGAACAAGCATACGAGAAGAAGAAAGCGAGTGGTTATTAGAGACTGCCATGTTATTCGATCCGATGTCAATTCTGAGACGGGGAGCTGATTAGTTTCGTTTTGTTCACTAGCAAACATGGGTTATGTTACATTTGCTAGAAATACGCTTGAAAAACTGTTAGCAAGCATACAAACGAAGGAAAACAAAATAGAGAGGAAATCTTTCCACAACAGAGTAGGTTCGATAAGAGAAAAGAAATTATTTACTTGATACTGTTCCAAGTCCATGTTCTCCAGGTCTGGCGTTTTCTTGGGCTCGATGATTTGTGCATTCCACTTTGATTCGTATTTACTCTGATCGTCTAGATCCTGTTCCGGAAGATAATGTGGGTCATGTTGTGTAAAATAACGGCAAAGGAACTGAATTGAATAGCAAAAAACTAAGCTTAAGCCTAAGCGGAATAACTAAGCGACATGCAAATTTTCTTCGACGAACAGAATATACTAAGCAACACGTAGAAGCTGAATAATTGATTTTGTAAACAAACTAAACATAATTCGATGGCCAATCGATTCGATCTGGTAAACTGAAGCGTGTTGTAGCCGGCATTTAGGTAGCAAAGGCGTTGAACAGAACGAAAAAACACGAGGCAAAGCATCGGGACCATTACCTTTAGAGAACACGGTCGTTCCGCTCTATCTACGGTGGTAGTGATGGTGGTGGTGGTGGTGCTATCCTCCACCAGCATCATTGCCGCATTCTCGGGGGACTCTTTGGGAGTGTCCGTTTCCGACATGCTGCCGCCACCCTTACCCTGCTGGTTGGGGATGGTTGATTGTTGTTTGATGTGGTTTTGGTGGTGATGACCCGTTTTACCGATTCCCGATTTGGTAGTTGGTGCAGTTGGTTTTGGGATTGGGGCATTCGGTTCACATGGTTGGTTGATGGTATGGAACATATGTACAGACAGGTTGTTGCAATCCATGTAGGTAAATCCCGTCACCAGGGTAGGGGAGATATTCGTTGGAGAGTGAATAAATAAAAAAGTAGTAAGAATATCCTTAGCATTTACAGACATTTGGCGATCGTAAATGGATGCATATACATCGGTATAGTGCATGTGTATGATGTGTGTCCAATACCTATCTAACAACGAACGCTGAACGATTAGATTAGAACAAGTGCCGTCGTTAGGTGTCTTACCATACTGGCGCAGCACGAATAGTGATCTTTTTATGGTGTTTACGATAGTAGATGATCAAATGTGTGGCAGTGTTACGCAAAATGAACTATGTGTAAAGCAGGTGCATTTATCAAAGCTTAAAATTCATTGTTCGGTCACCGATAACACTTGGTGAACGACCTAACTACAATATAAATTTAGATAAGTTTTCCTTTTTTTATTTGTTTTTCATCGATCTTGTTTTCCTGTTATGAGTACCAATGCTACCGAGGTCAGGAAGGCAGCTCTCACGCCTGAACCCCACCTATCGACCCATCAACTCATGGATCGTTAACCAATGGCTTTACTTCCCTTCCAAAGGAAGGCGTGATCAGAGGTTTTATGCCTCAGAAAATCTCGACGGCGCCGACTCGGATTGAACCCAGGCCCTTTGGAGTGAGAGGCTGTCACGCTGACCACTACACTACCGGTGGCGCTAGATAGCTTTCACATGATTTGATATTTTTAATTAAAAATAAAGGTCATCTACTTTTGTTCAAAGCGAAAAAGCCGCTTACAAAACCAACAAGTACGTTACAAAAAGAATGGTAAAGAGTACCGAATTCCAAAACTCTATTTGAAATTGCTTTAGTATATTCGGCAGAATTTCGGTCCAGTTAACCTAAAAATTTGCATGGTATTCTATTCAGAAATATCGTGGACTCTACGTCAGAATTTCCAAAGTATTCTCGAAACATTTCCAAAGTATTCTCCTTAGAATTCTATGGGTTATTCTCCTCACACTTACAACGGAATTCTACTCGAAATTCTCTTGATATTATCGTCAACATTGCATTAGGATTCCTCCTAAGTAATTTCCATGCAATTATCTTTGGTATTAGCTTAAAATTCACTTTAGAATGGATTATTGATTTTTATTTTTATTTGCTTTATTTTAGAGCGTCTCTTTGGGCTTTCAACATAATTACAATAAATGTATTAACTAATCATTGATGTGCGTTTTGGATTTTATGGTCGCGTACCTTTTCGTTGCTGGGTCATCATCGGTTGGTGGAGGGAGGGAGGTTATATTTACCTGTTGTGGTTACCATTTCGTTACCGCTTCTGTTCGTATTTCGTACCGGGTTGTCTTGAATTGCGAGGATACTGAAGTTACTTATGTCCAGACGCTTTCCACCTCAGATCATGTTGTGTGCCGTGTTGTCGTTGTTTACTTACCTTACCAATCAGGCTAAGGCCTTGTTGTCCTCTGCTATCCGAAGAAGTCGTCTCCACTCTACTCGATCCATGGCCACACTTCGCCAGCCTCGTAGTCTGCGAATGGTCCGCAGGTCGTCTTCTACTTGGTCGATCCACTTTGCCCGCTGGGCGCCTCTTCTTCTTCTTGTTCCTGTTGGGTCGCTTTCTAGAACCATTTTCACTGGGTCGTCGTGCGGCATTCTTACGACGTGCCCAGCCCACCGTAGTCGCCCAATTTTTGCAATGTGGACGATGGATGGTTCTACCAGCAGCTGGTGCAATTCATGGTTCATTCGCCTCCTCCACGTTCCGTCATCCATCTGCACTCACCGTAGATGGTACGCAACACCTTCCGTTCGAAAGGGCCCACGAGCATAGTCCAGGTCTCGTGGCCGTAGAGGACCGCCGGTCTAATCAGCGTCTTGTAGACAGTCAATTCGTGCGGCGGCGAATTTTATTCGACCGGAGCGTCCTCCGGAGTCCAAAGTAGGCACGATTCCCTGCCATAATGCGTCTTTGAATTTCTCTGCTGGTATCATTTTCGGCGGTCACCAGTGAGCCCAAATACCCAAACTCATTGACCATCTCGATTTCATCACCGTCAATCTGAACTCGGGGTGGGAGGCTAACATTGTCTTCCATATAACCTCTTCCTTTCATGTATTTTGTCTTTGATGCGTTGATGGCAAGTCCAATCCGCCTAGCTTCAGCCTTCAGTCTGATGTACGTTTCTGCCATCGTCTCAAAGTTCCGTGCCATGATGTCAATGTCATCGGCGAAGCCAAGAAACTGGATGGACTTCCTGAATATCGTGCCACTCGTGTCTATCCTAGCTCTTCTGATCACACCTTCTAACGCGATGTTGAATAGCAGACACGAAAGTCCATCGTAAGTTGTCGTTGTTTAGTAGTTGCTATTATGTTTCTCATCGGGGATTTTGTGAGTTGTCCTCGCTTTCGGGTGTTGTTTTATAGGTATTTTTGCAGATATTTTTCAGATTTTGTGGTACAGTCCACTGGCTTTCAGGAACTCGATTAGTGCTGCCTCCCTGGCCGGTTCGTTGCATAACAGGTCCCGCATGCTACCTTCCAGGCCATAGAGTAGCCTATTAGCGCGTGTTCTACCGTCAGCTGGACGGAGCACGAATCGCAGTGAGTGTGGAAGTTGCCCGTGCTTGTGACCAGTGTAGCCTGTCCGAAGTCTGGAGAAAACTCTCTGACCTCGCCAGTTCTTGACATCGACCCATTTGCCTTTTTTCCTCAGGAAAGCCCGTGTTTCTTGGTTCCATTCAATCTACCACGCGTCCCTTACTGCTCAGTTGACCCAGTTTTTAATGTCTGGTGCTGGTATCTCGTCTGGGAGTCCCTTACAAATGCCGCTAGACTGTCGGCCCGTTCGTTACCGCTAGCCTTCGAGCCGTCCGTGTACACTATCTGGTAGTCTTTGAGTTTTGTAGATACTAGCTCATTGAAACGTTGTACAGCCGAGATGGTACCAGGATCTTTCTTCCGGATGTCCTTTAGTTTCCTTATAATACGCGGAGAGGCGGCGTCCCATCCTTCGTCCCCAATATGATGAATTGTTGATACCTTGGGAAGTTTCTGCTGGGTCAGGGAGCGCAGCAGTTTATTGGCCTCATCCAGTAGGAAAACTCCCTGATCACTTCCTTCTGTCTCTCCAAAAAGTTCAGGGTTCTTGAACAGACCAACAGGGTAGAACGCCAGCTTCAATGCAGACCGTGGGCGCTGGGGAGCATGGAAGGAGCCCTGAGACCGTTCGAATGCTGCGGTTGTATGTGACGCTCAGCTTGTCGATTGTCGAGTCAGTCGCTCGACAGATGATTTCGGCACCGTATAACAATTTCCTGTTTATGATGGCCTTTGCCACCCTGAGAGCTGTTTCCCAATTATTCGCCTGATGCCGACTGGTGATGGATTTAAGAAGAGAGATTCTGGGTTCGCACTCTTTTATAGTAATCTCGCAGTGCTTGTTGAAATTCAATCGCCGTTCGAGATGAACTCCAAGAACTCGAACTGTGGTGTGGTAAGGTATTGGGATACTGTTGATTTTCACGGGCTTCTTTGCTCCGTTGCAGAAGTGCGAAAATTGTCTTTTGCTGGACGATAGATCGAAGCCAACAGATTTACCACATTTACCGCCTCTTGAAGTTTCCGGCGGATTATAGCCGGGCGTTTACCCACTACCACAAGGACGATGTCATCCGCGAACACAAATATGAGGATGTCCCGTGGTAAGACCCTGTTCATGGCTATCAGGAAAAGAGTGACGGCCAGAACGGAGCCCTGAGGGAACGATTCTGATTTCCGACGCTCACTTGAAAGGTTCTGTTGCTAAGGAAGTTCTGGACGAAGAAGAGAATGTTACCAGAGACGTTCCATTTCACTAGCTGAGCCAAGATTTCCGGTGTCCAGGATCGATTGTATGCTTTGGAGAGGTCCAACGCAGCCAAGTCTACGTGTTCGTTGTTCTCCAGAGCATCGTTGATTACCTGTCCGAGTGTGGCGAAATAAGTATTGGTGCCAAAACCCTGAAGAAATGCGCGTGCTTCCGGTCGTCTAGGAGATTGTTTGTACGAAGATATTCAGTCACGCGTCGGTTCACCATTCCCTCCATTACCTTGCAGATGCAGTTAATTAGCGATATTGGCCGATATCCTTGTGGGTATGTGGAGGGTGCGTTCTTTTTCGGAATGGGAACGACCAGGCTGTGTCTCCATTGCGTCGCGAATATTCTCACAGTCCATATTTTGCTGTAGATATTCAGGAGGAGTTGTTTACAAGGTGGAAGGTGTCGGAGGACAGGGTAGCCAACGTCGTCTGGGCCAACAGATTTACCTTTTCCATTTGCCAATGCGTAGCATATTTCCAATAACGAGAAGGGTTGGTTGATGGTCGATGGTGATTTTGAATTCGTTGTCATATCCTTCGATCGCACTGAGCTTGGCGAAATATGTGCCAAACTCGTTTGCGACTACAACGGGGCTCCTGGTGACCCCAGATTGCGCGGCGGATTGCCAGGCCGGAGTTTCTACGTTTGCGTCTTAAAGCGTTTGCTCTGTTCCATAGTTCCGTTGTGGAGCTACTGCTATTGATAGAGTTTAGGAACTCCTCCTAGCTCTTTGTCTTGGCCTCTTTTATGATTTGGCGGCACTGGTTTCTTTTGGTGCGATAATCCAAAGCAGTCTCCTCCAGTGACAGATGATCGACGGGGAGTTTTTTTTTAGCTTCCTCAATGCTTTCTCCTCGCTTTAACGGCGGTTCGAGTTTCGGGGGACCATCAGCGCGAGACCCTGCGCCCCGCGTTTGGACTGGTCCTCGGTATGTTTCCCTGTTCCTTAGCTTGTCGTTGATGGCCATCTCATATGAGGCCCAATC